ATATGTACTGCTCGCTCTATAGTGAAACCACTTCTTCTCTTCCAATTTCTCGACTCTCCTCAACTTACTCGAACTCAACCATGGCTCCTAAGCCTACCCATTCCTAGTATCTTGACATGGTATCAGAGCGACAAGGTCCTGACCTGTGGGCCCCACTTTAAAGCTTCCGCTGCTACTCTTTGTTTGGCACGCCCCGTGGCGTGCCCCTTATTCCCTTCGAGCGGCCCCGCCACTTCGTCGCGGCCCCGCCACCCCTTGAGCGGCCCCGCCACTTAGTCGCGGCCCCGCCTCCCCTTCGCGCGGCCCCGCCACTTCGTCGCGGCCCCGCCACTCCTTCGAGCGGCCCCGCCACTCCGTCGCGGCCCACCCGCCGCCCTACCTGCGGCCGTCCCGCCGCCCTACCTGCGGCCTACTCGCCGCCCGTACCAGCCCGTCGCCGCCCTTCGCGGCGTCACGTACCGCCCGTACGACGCGCCGCCGTCCGCTGCGGCCCCGTCGCCGCCCGTACCGGCCTGTCGCCGCCCGTCCCGGCCCGTCGCCGCCCGTGCGGTACCCGCCCCAGGCCCCGATGCCACCTGCGGCCCCGCCCTCTTGCGGCCCCGACCCCGCCCCGGCCATGCCCTATCGCCAGCCGCGGCACACCGGGGGCACGTGCACCGCCCCCCCCCCTTTTCCCGTCACCCGTCGCGGCTCCTTCGGGGGCCGCTGAAAGGGGGGGGGAGTCGTCGCCCCCTCTGCCGCTTGCTTTGGCGCCCGGGGAGGCCGTGCGTCGGCCCCCCCCCCCCCCCCCCTTCCCCCCCCCACCCCTTTCTCCTCCTCCTTTTGTTCCCTCTGCTGCAGCTGCCGCTGGGGGGGAGGGTGTGAGAGTGTGGGGAGCCCGGGGAGGGACTGGGGGTGGCGGGTGTGGGGGTGATGGGTGAGTGTGGTCCCCTGGCCCTACGGCTCCATTCTCCTCTGTTTGTCCCCCCCCTCTGCTGCTCCTGCAGCAGGGGGAGGGGGAGGGGGAGGGGGAGGATGAGGGGATGTATGTGGTGACCAACCAGAGCCTATCACCTCCTCTCCTCTCTCTCCCTCTCTCTCTCTCCTCCTCCTTGCCTGCCCTCTCCCGTACTGCTACGCACTCTTGGTGTACCCCATTATGGGGGCGTTGACTGCACATTCTTCCCTACAGGCACTTATGGGGGCGTGTCAGAATAATATATAGTTTTATATATTGTTTTGTAACTGCCTGTAGTGTAGATTACTGTAGTTATACAATGTTCTGTTTTGGTGGTGCACCTTTCATTTTGCCTATATGTACTGCTCGCTCTATAGTGAAACCACTTCTTCTCTTCCAATTTCTCGACTCTCCTCAACTTACTCGAACTCAACCATGGCTCCTAAGCCTACCCATTCCTAGTATCTTGACAGGCTCCCGTGAGGGGAGCGAGGGGGCAAGCGATGAGGATGACAAGGACGACAGTGACGATGCGGACGATAGTTGGAATGACGTGACGAAAACTACCTATCGAACTCGCTGTCCGCGCTCAACGAGGAGGAGGCGGAAGACAACGAACGGGTGCGGGGTATGCGGAGGGACATAGAGGTACCTATCGTGGATTGGAACAGGCTAGGTGTGGACGACACGCGGACCGCGAAACAAGAGATGTGCTACGGAATCCTCTATGGTGTCTCTGAGGCCACGCTGAAGAAGTAACGCGGTTGGGCCAACGAGTACAAGCGGTTCATGGCTCACGAGCTGCCTAAACTGGACGCGGGTAGGTTTGGTGAGGAGGCCGCGTTGAGAAACGCGAACCCCGACGAGATAGGGGCCGCACTCGAACAGAACATGGGTGGTGACTAGAAGATGGCGAAGGGCGACGAGCAATGGTTCCACGGCCTTGAGACGAATCCGTGGTGCTTACGCAAATACGTGACCTTCCTCGCGAACGAGACAGTCGCGCAGGCGGACAGGATGGCCACACTCAAGCGGCCAGAGAAGACCTTGAAGAAGAGACGCCAGTGCACCCCGGCAATGCTGATGGGGCGTCTCAAGGCTTTGAACCTGCTCATCAAGCTGGACGGGGCCATCTTCAGGAAGCCCGTTCTCAACCTGCTGCGCGACTTTGGAGAGTGTCGCATCTGGGTCCGCGTTCAAGTACGCGACCAGTACAAGTGGTTTATCGCGTAAGTATACGTTCTCAGTGAACGCGTTTAATGCCCAACAATACCGCGTCCACTAACACCCGCACAATCGTCCCAATCGGTGCGCAGGGAACACATGGATCGCCATCGGGATACGGCCGCGGACACGTACACCCCGGACGAGTTCAAGCATATGATGCGGAAGACCAGCATGGACGCGATCTTGACCAGCTTCACACTAGCCAAGAAAGCATACACGCAGGCAATGCATCGCGACCTCTGCATCCGGACGATGACCGTGCTCGGTCATCACACTCTGGCCCACGGATGCACGATCAGAAACCTGTAGCTGCCAGACATAATGATGTAGAAGCTAGGCGCAAAATCGGAGACCGATCCAGTGAGGAACGCGTTCATGTTTGTTTGCGCGTGCAGGACGGGCAAGACAAACAATGACTTCTCGCTCAACTACATATCTGCTGTGAGGCACATACATTGGACGCTGTGCGCGGTCGGAGCCACGCTGCTGTGGCTGCACTGGGTGTACGACTTGGTTCCCATCCTCTACGAGGACATAGCCCCCCCTCTCGACTTCACGGAACCCTCCACATGGTACGATCAATACCTATTCTTCCCCCTTCGTGCGGGCAACGAGAAGCAAATACCGCCTACGACTCATCACGACTGGGCGGCGAAAATTCTCCAGGACGCGGGAATCACATGCTCGCGTGCGGTACACGCGACCAGGGCTGGGGGGGTGCAGCACGCGTCCGCGGACGGAATGCCTTCGGATCAGCTGGCGAGGCTGGGGGGTTGGCGCTTCATCGACGTGATGACTAAGCACTACCTCACAACCATTCCGAGGGAGGCCGTGCTGCCGAAGGCGGGCTTCACCGGGGTTGACGGTGACTACTTCCTGGGTCGCGCAACTGTTCCGGTCAGCGATAAGCTGGATGAGCTACTGAGGAAGCACATTTTCCCATGGGCCGCCGCGGACAAAGGACAGCAACAGGTATGTGTGGTTCGCGCATACGCGACCGCGAGCATCCCACATAACACTCTGGCACCGCGTTCACTACCTTGTTGTTTTATTGTCACAGTGCAAGGATTACATCCGCAGGATGGTGAAAACGCAGAAGCCGGAGAAGCAGGACACCGCGGGGCTAAACATACTGAAGGAGTTGGATGGGGACGCTAGGATGGCGATCGCGCAAGACCTGGCGATGTATTACATCCACCAGCCGCAACACCCGTACGTGGTCAACAACCCGCTCTGCCAGACGGAGGAATTTGCGTCGTGGGCTGCAGATGTCTCATTCGCAAATCAACTCGCCATAGTACAACGCAACACACCTACACTGACCCAGCCCGCAGTAAGTACTGAATGGTCGCGTTATCTTTCTTCTGTGATGTCAATGCCAAACCATAACAAGTTCGCGGTCGCTTTCTGTCCATGCACGAGGTGAGTACCAGAATGGACGCGCAGAACCAAGTGACCGTCCTCACTGAGTACTTGACTCGTTCACAAGCGGACAACACCAGACTGGGCCTAGAGTTGGTCGCGACTCATAAACGGGTGAAAGAGCTGGAGGGGCTGCTGGAGGATCGCAATCGGAAGCTGGCCGAGAAGGACGAGCGCGTGAATGATTTGGAGGCCCAGCTGTCGCGGCTCACCGTGAGCAGCTCAGAGCCGACCGCAGCTCTTAACCATGCAACAACTCCTGGAGCCGCGGCCGCGCCGACCAATGCCACAACTCCCACCGAGCAGGGGACGCGGAAGAAACCCGCAGCGCCCACCAGGGAACAGACGATTCGGGACGCGATCGTCCTTCCATGGGTCAACGCCACCAAACCGTCAGACGGATGGAAGCTGTACAAGACAACGCACCCGCTGATCCTCGAGAGTCCAGAGTCGCTTCTGGCCCAGCCCCGCGGCGCAGTTACGCGAATGGCCGTGCTCATTGGGGAGGAGGGAGGCGGCCAGAACGCGATAAACCGTGTCAAGCGAATCATGAACTTCATCGCCCACAGGGTGGAGCAAGGAGATGATATCGCGGTAGTGCTCGACAAGCTCGACCTCATGTCAAGAGCTGTGGGCATGTCGAGTGTATCTGAAGGGATCGCGGTAAAGAAGAAGAGTGTTGATCTGGAACTGAGCCAGCTCAAGAAGGGTTCTTCGGTGGAGGTGCAGTTGCGTGTGAAATGGATGCTTGTTCGCGACCGTCTCATCAATGCCTCTCTTCCCACTTTTGAGTTCACGGTCGCATGGCCCCAGTACTGTGCGCTGATGCCAGACTTGCAGTAAGTGGATAGACCCCGCTGTTGTTCGTCTTGATATCACCGTCTTCGCGTGCGATGTTATGGGTCCCTAAAATCGACCGCGAGTGTTGTTGTTTTGCGCGAAGATAGTGCTGATTTACATCGCGGCCGTGGTGATCGCGGGCTGCCGTTGTTTTGCGCGAAGATAGTGCTGATTTACATCGCGGCCGTGGTGATCGCGGGCTGCTGTTGCCTAATGTACATAGATTGTTCGTGTCGTAGTGTGTAAAATGATAATGTGTGGGAATACCTGAGACGAATGCAGATTACTACTAAAATGGCACACGCGCAAACACACGCACCCACAGAATCCTACAAACCTTCACATATTGTTCCAAATGTCAACACTAGGTTCTCACGCGCATGCGCGCGCGCGCGGGCGCACACACACACACACACACATACATGATATACTACATGCACCAGCACAATCCACCGCGAGTAGAACTCAAGCATGGCGGACAAGCTGTGCACATGCTACGCGATACTACACGCACTCAAGTCCGCTTCTTCAGTCGATCCTTGGGCAGGGCAAGGTACAAACCCAAGGACTCCATCTACTTCCCTGCCACCGAGCAGTCGCACCAGGTGATGATAACGTCCACCGTTTCGCGGGCGGCCAACTCAATGTGCATGAGATCGCGAGACTTTGCAACGACCTCGTTCATGACTCCGGACACGATCGCGGCGGCGACCGCCTTTGGGTCCGCGACAACCTGTGGCTCATCTTCCTCGCGGCGATTGCGCTTCCGCACCGCATTGATGACGTACGCGAATACTACGGGGAAGAGACGGCTTCGCTCTCCATAGCAACCAGCAGCACGCGCGGCCAGGTTTCCATTATCTGCTGCGGCGGTGACGTTAGAACCGCGAGTGACCTCCCACACCATTGCAATGGCGCATGCGATCGCTCCCGCGTAGTCTGTCGGCTCCACGTCGTCGAGATCCGCTTCTTCTGCCGCAGCCTCCTTGCCTACCACCGCGGCCCATGCAATCACGTTGGTGGTGTGCATTCTGGGCTTGGTTAGCCCGCGATAGGAATCGAACATGCGTTGCCACCTGCCACGCAGTGGGTTGGAGCGGCCAGAACATGATAACATACCAAATCGTATGAACGCACTAGATGATGGTGGATTGGCACAGCTCACCTGTCCTTGCTTGCCACGAGGTTGCGGTAGTGCATGGTGATTAAGAGGCCCGTATGTAACCCCTCGGCGATGGACAGGTCCGCGGCCCATTCTCGGATCTGCTGCTAGCTCAGGTTCAGCCCGGGGTCGACCTTCCCGTCGTAGGGATACATCGCGATCGCGGTCTTGTACTGCAGGTCTTTGCGGTCGCCGTGTCCGAGCCATTGCTTCTTCCCCCCCAGATGGGGTTTAGAAACCAATCCGGGCCCGCCCCTGGGCGGAGCGCGGATGCCGCAGCCCTTGTGCTTGGGGCCGGTGTCACCTTCCTCCCGTTGTGCCACCTTCCACGATCACGGGGTCTCCGTCTTGCTCGTCCGCACTCTCCCCGCCGCTATAAACATCGACCGCGGCCTCCCCACCCTGCTCTCCTCCGTCGCCCGCCTCGACCCACCTGCTCACGAGACCCTCCAGCTCCTCATCCGCATCGTCCTCGTCGATCATGTACACGGGTGGAGGGGGCAACTTCTTGCCACCCCGTCCGCGTTTCTCCGCCTTGACCTCGATCGAGGCCGCGATAGGACTTGCAGATGCCAGTGCGCTGCGCAGATTTCCCGCGGTGATTGCAGCACGAGCGGGTGCGAGCGTGGTCTGCCTGCCCTCTGCCGTAGCAGCCGCTGCGGACTGGACCTCACGCCTCGAGGCCAGCGAACCCGCAGTAGCCGGCGCCTCTCCATCCTCCGCCTTACCCTTGCCCCGACCCACAGTACTTGTCACTGTCGCGGTTGCCCCGGCAGGGCCCGGTGGTTTGGGTGCAGCTTCTCCAGGTGGGATGGAGCGCGAGCTCGAACCTGGTTGACCAGGCGGTGCTGCACCTCGCGATGCAGCGCCCCACTTCTGCTTCAGCATGTCCTGCACGCTCGGATTGCGCACCGCGGCCACTGCCTGGGGACCTCTCTGCCTCTTCGCCCCCCATTGATTCTCCGCCTTCGCACCCGCTGCCCGCTTTCCATGCTCTGCATCCCCGGTCTCGGCAATCTCCGTCGCGGCCATTCCTTCATTATCCGTGCGCGGCGGGGGGGCTCCTCCAACGAGCGCGATGAGGGTGTGCAGCGCGTTCGTGACCCCGCTGGTGGTGATTGCCTGCTCTGCTGTCGCGGAGACCGCGGTCGACATGTTGTCGATCTTCCGCGCAACCTCGTCCATCATCTTCTTTTGAGCGGCTTCCATGGAGTCTGTCACCACCCCCTGCAGCTGTCCCAGCCTTGCGTCCACTCGCCCCAGCACCAACGCCTCCTGGTTACGCGTATCGACCAGGGCCGCTCTTTCCTGCGCGATCGCCCTCGCCTCCTTCTCCAACATCCGAACCGCACTAGCAAGCGCGAGCGCAAGCTCCTCAAAGCCCACGACCGCGACCCCACCAACCCCCGACTCCTGGCGTTTCTTCAGCCGTGCGTTCTCTTCGGCCTGCGCTGCAAGCCTGCATTCGAGCTGCAGGATCTCGGCAGCAAGCTTATGCGATGGCAACGAGGATAGGGACGCGTGATCACGCGGACCCGTCACGGGACTCTTGCCCGCGACCTCACCACTCGGGCCCGCGCTTCCAGCACCGGGGGCCAAGTGCTGCGCGAGGTGCTTGATGCTCTTGCCGGATGTAGTGGGCCTGCTAGATGCCACGGCCGCTACCACGGCCACTACCACGTGAGCCTCCGCCTCCTCCTCGCTCGACTCCTCCCCCTCACGCGCAACAGCGCGGTCATCCTCATCGCGGGTTGCACCCTTAGTCGCGGTATCCTCGGCCCCTTCGTCATCAGCGTGGACCACCGTCCCCCCCCGAGCACCTCCGCGGTTCGAAACACCAGCGGCACCTGTGAGAGCGAGAACACCATGGTCAGCAACATGTGCACACGTAGCCACTTTCTGCACCTTCCCCGTTTCAGCACCTTCAGCCTCACCGCCGTGCTTGGGTCGCGTCAAATCCACGCTCAAGTTGAACGCGAGCTCTTCGGCGGTTTGGTACGCCTCATGCCGCAGTGCATTCAGAGTCTTCGCGGTTCGCCTCAAAAATTGCGGCCCGGATCCACTGGCAACGACCGCGTCCAACTGGGCAAGGATCTTGTCGAACGCGAACAGACAAGCGAGATTGCCGCAGGAGCCCTTCAATGACGTCGCGTCCTACAAAACATTACATGGGGTTTGTTAGCACCACTGCAACTATTGGCGGTCATCGAGAACACGTACACAACACAGACGTACCAGATCCAACAAACGCTCGGGATCCTTAAGCTAGCGGGAGCGGGTGCACTGAATGGAGCCGCACGCAAAATCCTCGTCGACGCGACCCTGAAACCACCTGCCCAAAAGCACATACATATCCACGCGAACGCACGGTTAGCGACATGAGCCTCGGAGCGGAAATGAACGTGGTACTGATGATAAACCAGTACGCGGTACTCACTTCACAATCGCATCCGCCACGGTGACGTGTTCCACACCACCAGTGGGAATAGCAACGCGAACGAACCGCGTGTTCCACGTCTCGTCACCGTCAAGTGACAGGTGGTCGGGGTGAAGCAGAATGAGCATGCTCGCGTTCGAGCTCTTCTTGTCGAACAAGTCTCTGAACGTGCCATTGATGACCGCGTTAAACCACGTAAACGAGTGCATTCCCTGTACAAGTGAACACTCCCAATGAAAAGTCACTCGGACCAGATGCAGAAAACCACCAGGCTGCACTCCATCAAACCGGCAAAGGCTTGGACCGCTTCATCGCGACCCGCGACTATGTCCGCGACAACACCGCTCGTCACGATTCGGACGTGCTCATGCACCTCCTTCTCCAGATACCTCCGGACAATCACGCTGTGCGACACGGTGTAAAACACGGCGGGGAAAAGCTCAACCATGAACAACGCGACCAAAAAGCACAGCGGAGGTATGTCGCGGCCTGCACTGCCCACTAGTAAATATTGCTGACATGTCGCGAACAGCCTAAACACTGCGACCATAAACAACGCGTGCATATTGGATTCAGGGAATGGAACGCATGGATCTCACCCGGTGACAAAGTCGAACAGACGCGCCGTGAGAGGATGCTTATCCTCAGTGTGCAGCTTCCACTGTTCGGGGGGGAGGTCCACCGTGGCTCCCGCAACAGAGATGATGGCCGGACAGGAGGCAGCCTCTTTCGACCCAGCTCTAAGCGCCTTCATTTCGCGGTTCATTACTTGTACGACCGCAAGAGCGCGACCAAAGGTACGGTGTATCTATGACGAAAGGTACGCGAAATAGTGCTCGCGTGTATCTAGGACGAACTGTACGCGAAACAGTGCTCGCGTGTATCTAGGACGAACGGTACGCGAAACAGTGCTCGCGGCAGAAAATAAGAGCTACGCTAGACGCTACCAAGCGCGAACGCGGCCAAGCAGAGTCTCTGCTAGCACTAGGCGATGAGGACCTCTACGTGGAACGGGCGAGCAGGAAGAAAACAAGATGTGAAGACGGAGAACGAAAATGAGCACCAGGTGCCCATACCGAGAACCTAAGAGTTGGCCGAGAGGGAATCAAGAGACGGCACTCGCGGTCAAACTGCGCAGGCCTCTCACCCAGCGGGGAGGTTCCGCAACATGCACGCTTGTGCAGCCAACGTCCGCCACGTTGCACACCATCCGCGAGCCGCGTTCGGAGCGGGCTGCCAACTCCCGCGGAGAGAGAATTTTCCTCGTCGCGACCGCCGAGGTCCGAGGCAACAATCGGGTACACCAATTCGGGTCACCCGAATTAACTCTACACTCCGTTATATTACACGTACCGTAAACTCGCAACTGAATGTTTCCCCGATGCATTAGAGAGATTATTTCGTTTGATCTTTTCGTTTGATCTTTCGAATGGCGTACACTCTGCTCCGTAAATTTAATCTCAGCCTGCTTTCCGCGAACGATTGTTCGCGAGGGTCTTGCGAGCATTGCGATTGGCCGGCTCCATTTCGGGCAGCACGGAGATGGCTTCGCCCGTCGCTCCGAAACCGGCTCCCATTGGCCGAATCCGTTTTGGCCAGCCCGAATTGCCATTCGCACGCGCGGATTTGCATGCGAAATGCTTCGCGAGGGTTCTTCCGAGGGACAGACCAGTCGGAAACGGCTCCGATTGGCCGGATCCGTCTCGGCACGCTGGGGTTCGGCCCTCGCCCTCGGATTGGAGAGCGAGGGGTTTCGCGAGGGGTTTCGCGAGCCAGGGCTGGGCCCGGGGGGGGCCCGGGGTTGGGACCACGCTGCGTGGCGCTGGCGTGGCCCGGGCTCGGCGCGGGACCACCCCGCCAGCTTGCTCCGCCGCCCGGATCTCGCTAGGGACCTGGGAGGGGGCGGGGCACTCCCTCTCGCATGCAATTCCCAGCTGGGGGTCGCGACAGCCCTTGCATCCGCGTGCGGCCCTGGTGGGAACCCGTTTCCACCAGGAGGGGGACCTGGTGGGATTCCACCCACCAGGGCCCGGATGGACTGCACTGCACTTCCAGCATTTGTAAAAATATATGGTACGCTACGCTTGCTTTTCTGAATGATACATGGGATAACACCACTTGGTTATTTTGTGCACCACTTTCCAACACTTGATTCTGCCCCTGCCTGAGTATAATTAACCAAGGTTGTGAAATCAGCATTGGCTTCCCTATCGTTGCATTGCAACTTGTACTAACTGGGAACAAATCACCTAGCTGGAGCAGTGGTGGCAGGGATTGCAAGGCTAGATGAGGAGAGGGCAGGATTATCAGGACCCAAATGGGCTGTTAGGTCTCTCTCGACTGCTGCCAGAAGCTCATCATACTGTGATGCATTCGGTTGTGCCTGAACATAAATAACATCAAGAAGGGGGAAAATTATGATCAGACAAACAGACATGCAGAGAACAAGCAGGGAAGGAGGGGAGAGAGCAGGGAAGCCCGGACATAGGTGGGCTGGAACGTTGCAGAACGCACTGCCAACATCCCATCATGCTGAGACAGTCAAGCACAATGCATTAAGTTGTGCGTGGTCTAAGGTAGGGCCGACCAGAAGGAATTGTGAGACATGTTCTCGTTATGCTCGACTGTGACTCTTGTGTGAATGATCGTGAATGAATAAAGAGAAAGTGCAAGACAAACTCACCTTGAAAATGCACCAGCCGTGGCACATACCTTAAGAGCTCTCACATAGGCAGTCCACAGCTTCATGTCGTTCTGGAATAGCTCTGCCAGCACCTGAAGGGACACATCACACGCACAAAGGGCACATCACACGCACAAAGGGCACGTCACACGCACAAAGGGCACATCACACGCACAAAGGGCACGCCACACGCACAAAGGGCACGCCACACGCACAAAGGGCACGGGAGGAAACATTTTTTTGAGTCAACTCAGAAATCGGCTCTGCCAGCACCTGCTGAGCCACACACCAAGGGCACAGGAGGAAACAACAAAGATAATCGTCAGACACATGGCGACCGGAAAGAGTTGGATACAAGTAGTGGTGCCTACGCAGGTTCGGTGAATGAGCAAGGCTTGGGTTAGCAACTTACCTTCTGCACACATGACCACCCTGCTGGTTGAATCCAGGCAAAGCGGGCTGCAGTTAGTACAGCCCTTCACCAAAACAACCCTTCACCAAACAGCCCTCCAACCTCAGAGAGTGTTTGGAGCTGTTCAGATTGGCCGATCGTCTCACCTCAGATCGCTGCAGCAGCGTGGCGAGCACGACGGTCCACTCATGAAAGCCCACGGTGCGCACGTGAGCCAAAAGGAACTCCGCATCCAGCCTGCTCTGTAGATTGCCCTCCAGGGCGATCTGGGGGGGGGGGGGGGGGGGAGCGTGTTGTTGAGGAGGGAGGGATGCAGCAGCGTGGCGAGCATGACAGTCCACTCGTGGAAGCCCACGGAGCCAACAGGAACTCCGCGTCCAGCGTGGGTGGGAGGGGGAGCGGATGATTAGCGGGGTAATGACATACATAACAAACCCCTTCCCTCTCGCCCCTCCCCCATCCTCTCCCCATGTATGCTGCAATGCAACACCGAGTCGTACCTTGTAGCGGATGATGCGCAGAGCAGTGGGAAAGAGGTGACTTTTGAGTCGACTCAAAAGTCACCTGTGCTGCAATGCAACCACGAGTCGTACCTTGTAGCGGATGGTGCGCAGGGCAGTGGGAAAGTCTTCGAGGCGAATTGACCTGCCTCGATCCGACCGCAGGAATTCCTGGTAGGGCCAGTGCATGGGGCACGGGACACAAAGAATGGGGAATATGGCATGGGGGACGGGGAGTGGTGCATGGAGCACGGGGAATGGTGCATGGGGAATGGGGAATGGGTTACATGTTGATGTTGGTGCAGGAGCATGGCACAGCACAAGCGCACGCAAGCTTCAATGTCAGTCAGACTATGGGCTTGGACAATGGCCTTGACCATCAACATGCTGATATTTTAGGCGCCTAAAAAATACAGGTATGGACAATCGCCTTGAACATCAACATGCTGAGCACCTTCTGTGCATACAAACGCTATTGAGTCGACTAAAAAACATACGCACGCAAGCTTCAATGTCAGTCAGACTACGGGCTTGGACAATGGCCTTGAACATCAACATGCTGAGCAAACTCTGTGCATACAAAGCCACTCACACTGAAGCTAATGTGGGTGCCCTTGGGTGCCCTGGCTGGCTCTCACATATCGGCCTTCAAACGCAAACAATATCTAGACCAATGTTTGTAGGGTTGATGGATAGATAGTCATACACAAATAGAGCAGCCCTTACAGTGAAGTCGAAGTGGGTGCCTTCAACAAACGCCAGGAGCTGGCCTTGAGTCGACTCAAAAGGCACCTAGACACACAGAGGCAGCGCCCCTTACAGTGAAGTCGAACTGGGTGCCTTTCACGAACGCCACGAGCTGCCGGAGCTCCTTGCTGCTCATGAGGGCCGTAGCTTTCTCCCCCAGTATGTGCTTCACTGTCGTGTGCAACACGTCCCCCCTCGCCTTGGGGGCTCTGTATGAGAAAGGCGGGGGGGGGGGGGGGGGAGAGGAAGGGGGGGCGATGGAGTAGGGGGCGGGGGGTGTCAGCAGGGAGAGCGTTGCCTTCTCCTCCAGAATGTGCTTCACCGTCGTGTGCAACACGTCCCTCCTCGCCTTGGGCTCTCTGCGCTAGGCAGAAGGGGTAGAGGGAGCGAGGGGTAGGTTGGGGATGATGGGTGCGTATGTGAGGCGGGCAGGGAACGATGTGGGAGACAAGTGGGGCACGCAGGAGGAGGGGAAGACTCAAGGGGAGCAGGGTAGGGTGGAGGAGGGGGGGACTGAAGTGTGAGCAGCGGAGGGGCACTCATGTGGAGGTGAATCCGAAGAAGAAGACGCTCTTGAGCAGACTCTCGCTGGCCCTCTCGTCCTCCAGTGAGCAGGAGGAGGGGGGGAGGAAGGAGAGAGTCTCACGTGCACCAGGGCAGACAAGAGGGAAGGGCACTCACGTGGAGGTGAATCCGAAGGAGAAGAAGCTCTTGAGTAGACTCTCGCTCGCCCTCTCGTCCTCCTCCACCGCCTGGCTGTACTCGCGCCCTGACCGCAGCAGGAAGCGCACCTGGCATTGGGGGGAAAGGCGGGTTGGAGAACAGGGGGATCGGGAGGGGAGAGGGGGTGACCTGACCGGGAAGAAAGAGACAGAAGCAACAGGGGTGTCGCTGGCCCTCTCGTCCTCCTCCACTGTACCATTCACTGGCCCTCTCGTCCTCCTCCACTGTACCATTCACTGGCTGTACTCGCGCCCTGACCGCAGCAGGAAGCGCACCTGGGATGGCAGGAGAGGGAGAGAGGGGGGGAACCAAAGGGGGAATCGGGATGGGAGACGGGACGATGGGAAGGATAGAGAGAGGTGAAGAAAGCTAGAATTTCACTGGCCCTCTCGTCCTCCTCCTTTGCCTGGCTGAACTCCCGCCCTGACCGCAGCAGGACGCACCCCTGGGATGTGGTATGGGAAGAATGGGGAGCATGGGGAGAGGAAACACAGGACGCACAGAAAAGAGACTGTGAAGGATGCAAGCAAGGACATCTGGGGTGAACTGGGGCGGGGGGGGGAAGATTGATTGATTGAAGCAGGAGTTTCCTGGAAAAGGATTTGGCAAATATGTAGGGAAAACGGAGGGAAAGGGGGGGGGAAAGGGGGAGAGGACGGAGAGAGGTAGGAGAGTGGTGGTGGTTTGGAAAGAGAAATGGGAATAGAAAGATCTACCAGGTCACCTGTTTCTGAAGCCCTACCAGCTTTGCGGCTCTTACCAGCTCGCCTGCCAAGTCGTACATCGATTCTTGCAATGCCACCTGTAGAGCCACACACATGCACACGTGCACACATACACACATACACATGTGCACACATGCACACGTGCACACATACACACATACACATGTGCACACATGCACACGTGCACACATACACATGTGCACACATGCACACATGCACATGTGCACACATGCACACATGCACATGTGCACGCATGCACACATGTACACCACACACGCACAGACACATTACAGGCTGAGAGGGCACAAGGCAGCTGCAACTGCATAACCGTGAAAGGAGCGTTGGACAGGATGAGACGATTCTTGAGGCAGCTCAAAGCTCCTATCGTCTCACACGAAAGGTAAGAAACAGAGACTTTTTCTAGAATTTCTCAAAAAAACCCTGCAACGGGCGAGCAGGCGTGGGGACACAAAGCAGGCATAGGGTGGGGAAGCCAGCACGGGGGGAGAGGCGAACCTGCAAGAGCCGCAGGGCGCTTTGCTGACCGATGGTTGGGCCTTCTAGCTTCTCCACCACCTGATGGGGGACGCGAGGGGCGCAGGGAAGGGCGCAGTTGGAAAGGCGGGAGCAAGAGGGAACAGGGAGGTGGGAAGCGTGATTTGCTGACCCGATGGTTGGGCCTTCTAGCTTGTCCACCACCTGATGGGGCAGATGACAAAGACCTAGGGAGAGGGGCAAGAGAACAGGGGAGAAGGAAGAAACGAGCAAGTGGACAAGGGTGCTTCGTTCGCCGATGGTTAGGCCTACTGGGTTCTCCAGCACCTGAGGAGGGACGAGAGGGGACCAGGAAAGGAGCAGAGGAAAGCGAGGCAGAAACAGGGAGGTGGGAAGAGTGCTTCGTTGGCTGACGGTTGGACATTGGAGCTTCACCACTGCCTATTGATGACGCACAGAGGGAGAGAGGACCAGTGGCAGGGACGTGCAAGCACCTGGCAGGGACGTGCAAGCAAGGTCATGGACCCGAATGAGGCACGTACCAGAATGTAGCACGTGGCGGTGCGGTATTGCTTGTTTTCAAAACACTCTTCAAAGAGCCTGCCAGGTGCAACGCAGGGACACATACGCAGGGACAGAGATGACCAACACAGAACACAGAAGCCAACAATAACAGGCAGAAACCACGATGCGCAGAGCACAACGCAGAGAAGCAACCATGAACAGATCGCATCCCCGTGGGGAAAAATGAGAACAAGACAACCAATTACCAGCAGCGCACGTAAACCCCACACCCAGGTTTCTGAATTACCCAAAGTCATAAGTATTGCATACCCAGCCCAGAAAAAAAGAGCTCCAGGCAGTGCCTGTCATTGGTTTTCCTGCTCACACTAACCACCAGCGCATGCGCACACCATTACTCCCCACTACTATGCATGCTTCTCACCCCAGCATTTCAAACCTTACACCTTTCACGTGCTCCAATCCCCCAGCCCTCTCACGTGTTGGAGTTGCCTGCAGAAGCAAAGAGGTCGGGCCAGTGGCGGCTGTCGGTCTTGCGCGCCACGCTGACCACCACATCTCGGTACTCCCCAAAGTGCCGGATCAGCTCACACGCCCGGTCCAGCAAGCTCGGGCCCTTCTTCACCTCCTTGCGCCGCCTCCGTGCGCTCGCACTGCGGGGAAGGAGAGGGATGCGGGAGAAGGGCGGAGGGGGAAGGGTGAAAAAGAGTTTGAAAGCCACGCTGATCACCACGTCTCGGTACTCCCCAAAATGCCGGATCAGCTCACATGCACGGTCCAGCAGACTCGGGCCCTTCTTTTCCTCCTTGCACCGCCGCCTCGCACTCGCACTGGAGGGAAGGAGAGGAAAGGGGGAGAAAGAGGGGCGGTCAGCATAAAAAAGAATTTGAGAGCCATGCTCACCACCACATCCCGGTACTCCCCAAGTGCCGAATCAATTCGCATGCCCGGTCCAGCAGACACAGTCCCTTCTTCCCCTCCTTGCACCTACTCCGTGCGCTCGCGCTGTGGGAGGAGAGGGAAGGGGGGAGAATGGTTGGGGGAGGGAACGGGAAGGGGTGAGAGAGAGTTGGAGAGGCTTTGGAGGGTGAGAAGTAGGGAGCGAGAGAGGAGGAAGAAGGGGGATATTGGAACGACTGGAAGACGAATGATAAGCTGCGCATACCTGGCCCCACCTGATCCCACGGGCACCGCACTGCACCACTCTGCACCGACCTGGAGGTCTTGGCCTCGAAGATGTTGAAGCGAACTTAAGGGAGTGGGAGAAGTGTGGCCGCGTGGCAGAGAGGTAACGTACCTGACCAACCTGATCCCACTGGCACCCCACTGCACCCCACTGCTCCGCTCTGCACCGCTCTGCAGCACCCACCTGGACGTCTCGGCATCAAAGATGGTGAAGAGAAGCCACTCGAGGGAGTGGGAGAAGTGTGGCCGCGTGGCAGAGAGGTGCGCTAGCTGCACCGCCTCCTCCATCTTGTTGCGCTGTGAGGGATTGTGGTGTTTGTGTTGAATAGAGGAAAAAGAGAGGAGTGGAGAAGTGAGAGGATGTGGCCTCCACAAGAGCTGGAAAGGCTTCTCTATCTTGTGTGCGGTCGGGTGTGTGCCGAGATTCGGACAGAGGAGGCGGAAAGGAAAGAGTGGAGCGAAAACCAGCAGAAGGAAGAGGCAGGAAGAGGAGGGACCTGCCAATGATGTACCTGTACTGTCTCTACTCATGCTACAAGCTCACCACTGTACCTGAGCTACCAACAGTACCTACTAAGAATAACTACTACTGGATAAACCAGTACCGACTCTACCACCAACCATACCTGCAACAAGTGCCGTAGCAGGCAGGGGAGGATGGGCTGGGCCTGGGGCGTGGGCTCAAAGCAGGGCATCTCGGCACAGGAGGAGAGCGACAGGCGCTGGCTGACTGACTCCCACGATCACCCCTGCTGCTACCAGCACACTCCCTGTAGGCTGTAGCAGGGGTACCAACATTGAACCTGTGCCTCTCTACAAGAATAACTTCTACGCGGGAAACCTGTACCAGGCATTGACCAGTGTACCTGCAGCAGGTGCCGCAGCAGGCAAGGGAGAATTGGTTGTGCCTGGGGCGTGGGCTCAAAGCAGGGCATCTCGGCACAGGAGGAGAGCGACAGGCGCTGGCTCACACCCACGATCACCCCCGCTGCCGGCGACACCCCCAGCGGGTACACCTCGCGGTCAAAGTCGAGCTCTGGGTCCAGCTGCTGCACCTCTGCTGGCTGGCCTGATGCGTCGTGGTACAAGGAGGGGTACCACACCTGTTGAGGGGGGGATGGGGGGATGGGAGGAGGAGGCAGGACAGGAAAGGGAGGGAGGGGGTGGCGGAGAGTATGGGAAGCAGCGACTGTGCTGGCAGAAAGAGCAGGTGTAGGCGACGCCCCCAGCGGGTACACCTTGCGGCCGAAGTCGAGCTCTGGGTCCAACTGCTGCACCTCCGCTGGCTGGCCTGATGCATCGTGGTATAGTCAGGGGTACCATACCTGTTGGGAAGAGGGATGGAAGGAGAGTGGGGGAACGATGGGAGAAGCGGTGCTGAGTTGACTCTGTGGGAGGGCAGATGCGAGGAACACCCTAGATCTCCATCTGTGCGCAGCAGCATGCACTTGGTGGGCTGTGGGCTCACACCCTAGACTAGACTACACCACACCGCACCACACAGCACCGCACTGCACTCACCTGCATTCCCCTGTGGCCATACGCCCACCAGGGCACCTCCTCAATGAGTGCAGCAGCAGCCTCGTCCCCCCCCTGGGTAAGCCAGAAGTTCTCAACCCCCGCCACCAGCGCCCTCTCACTGCCACTATCCAGGTCCAGCAGAGACAGGTCCCCATCGGTGCGCAGCAGCATGCACTTGGTGGGCTGCCGCCTCATCGCCTCTGCCAGTGGGTCTCGTATGCTGCCTTTTCCAGATTTCCCGGATTTCCCGGTTGCCTGTGTGCCTGCTCCTCTCCTCGCTGCCCCCTGCTGCGCCCCCTCCTTGCACAGTCTTTGCTCGCTGCTGCTGCTCGTGAGGGCGCCTTGGCCCTCCCCTTCCCGCTCACGATTCCCCTCGCTCCCCGCCTGCCTTTCCCCCTCCGCCTGAGCGTCTGCGTCCCCTGTGCGCGGCACAAAGCGCATGGCGACGAGAGGCTTGCGCGCTGACATGATGGAGAGCTCCCGCACTGTGCGCAGCTGGTGGGGGGGGAGGAGGCATGAGGGAGCGGGGAGGGGGCGAAGAGGCAGCAAGCAAGAAACAAGTGGAAGGTTTGAGAGAGAAATAGAAAGCGCATGGAGACAAGGGGCTTGCGCGCTGACATGATGGAGAGCTCCCGCACTGTGCGCAGCTGGTGGGGGGGGAGGAGGCATGAGGGAGCGGGGAGGGGGCGAAGAGGCAGCAAGCAAGAAACAAGTGGAAGGTTCGAGAGAGAAATACAAAGCGCATGGAGACAAGGGGCTTGCGCGCTGACATGATGGAGAGCTCCCGCACTGTGCGCAGCTGGTGGGGGGGGAGTAAGGCAGGGGGAAGGAGGCGAGGGGGCAGCAGGCAGGAGAAAGTGGAAGGTTTGAGGGAATGAGACAAAGCGCATGGCGGCGAGAGGCTTGCGCGCTGACATGATGGAGAGCTCCCGCACTGTGCGCAGCTGGTGGGGGGAGGAGGCAGGGGTGGGGGGGGGGGTGAGGAAGGAAATGGAGCTCTTCATACAGGAGACAAGGGGCGCGTGGCGTTAGAGGCTTGCGGGCAGACATGATGGAGAGCGTGGGGTGAGGAAGGAAATGTTTTTTGAGAATTCTCAAAAAACATAAGAGGCTTGCGGGCAGACATGATGGAGAGCTCTATACAGACAAGAGGCGTGGAGTTAACGCTCACACAGTGTGGAGTGCCTTTCGATGCGCATAGTTGAGCAGCACATGCAGTCGCACATGCAGTCGTTTGCACATGCAGTCGCACATGCAGTCGCATGCAGTCGCACATGCAGTCGCACATGCAGTCGCACATGCAGTCGCACATGCAGTCGCACATGCACCGACCCATGCAGCCGCCCACTCACAACAACCAGCCTGCACTGTTGACAAGTGCAGCGGCGACACGTCCCCATCAACGTGCATGTGAAACACTTTGATGTCAAAAGGGTGGCGTGGCCACAAGAATTTAGGTGCCCCATGCATCCAGCATTAAAGGCCCCCTCTCAACCATCCCTTGCACACAGTGCAGCACAGCACACCCACACGCAACCAACCTGCTCGGTGGGTAAGTGAAGCGGCGACACGTCCCCATCGATGTGCATGTGGAAGACTTGGATGTCAAAGGGGGGCATGGCCACCGGAATGTAGTCTCCCCACGCGCCCGGTGCTAGAGGCCCTCATTTTTTTGAGTCGACTCAAAAACAGGCTCATCACACATGGATTATATGTTGAGAGAATTTTTGTTGCTTGGACGATTGGGTGTAGCTTGCTTAAGCTTTTGGTGCGCGCGCGACTACCGAATCTGTTGCGTGGCAAAGGGTTTGACCCTGCTCCCAACGATGACACCCTCGAGGGTTGAAGACGTGGCTCTTGGTGTTTACCAGGGCCACCTGGATTGGTCCCCAATTTTTTGGAGCGGGCCAGGGTGTAGATAACCTTGAGTTCTGTTTTACTGGAGGCGTTAGCTTTTCTTTTAAGGCTTCTGCTCCACTCTGTTTTCATTCTCGTAGGCACTGATGAAGGCCTGGTAGGGGATGCCCTCCAGCCGAAACATGTTTGTCTAGTTTTAATTTCTGTTAACGAGAAGAGTTCCGGTTTCACTGTTAGCTAGTGTTAAGATTTTCACTGTTTTTTCCTACTTGCTTAAGCCTAAACCTAGTCGCTGCTGCTCCCTGGAAAATGTCACAGAATCTGCTCACACAACAACTCCCCCTGCTTACATACAACACACCTGCACGGTGGGTAAATGAAGCGGCGACACGTCCCCCACCACGTGCATGTGAAAGACTTTGATGTCAAAGGGGGGCGTGGCCACCAGAATGTAGTCTCCCCATGCGTCCAGGGCCAGAGAGAGACCCCCACTCTCATACCTTGCGCGCACTGCAGCGAAACTGACCTGCACGGTGGGTAGATGCAGCGGTGACACGTCTCCCTCCACGTGCATGTGAAAGACTTTGATGTCAAAGGGGGGCGTGGCCACCAGAATGTAGTCGCCCCACGCGTCCAGCGCTATAGGCCGCGCGGGGAGCGGTTGGCGGCACAGCAGAGAGGACTCGTCCAGGTGGAAACGCGGGTAGAGACAGAGCTCGTATCTGGGAAGGGGGGCAAGGGGAGGGCGGCACTGGGAATAAGGGTAGGTGGAACTGGGAGGGCGGCACTGGGAATAAGGGTAGGTGGAACTGGGAGGGCGGCACTGGGAATAAGGGTACGGAAGAGGGACACACGGCAGGTGGAAGCCCAGGCAGGCAGCGCTCGTAGCTGGGAGGAGGGGAAGGAGCGGGGAGGGCGAGTGGGGAGGTTTTGTAGGATGGAGGCAGACACTATGATGACCTTGCCCACCCGTTGCACAGTAGCCGACTTTTGAGACGTCTCAAAAGTGACCTTGCCCACCCGTTGCACAGTAGCCCGTTGCACAGTAGCCCGTTGCACAGTAGCCCGTCGCATTGCAAAATGCGTGCAGCAGCAACCCGTTCATTGAGCACATTCTCTTACGAGTGCGACAATAACCTTCATTCACTCGGTGAATTGTCTTACGAGTGAGACGCCACCCGGTGGTTGCACACAATGATGATCTTGCCCACCCACAGCAGCCCCTCGCACTTGACGGCGCGCTCCTGCATCACGTCCCCAAAGACGCGCCACTTGTTGGAGCGCAGGTTGTGCAGGATGACTCCCCGCCGCCCCGCCACTGCCAGGTACGACCCGTCATCACTCGCTGCCACGTGCCTCACCGGCCAGTTCACACCCATGTACGTTTGCTGAGAGGGGTGGGGAGGTGAGGGAGGGGAGATCAAGGGGGAGACAGGGCAGGCGGGCAAACGGGCTTGCCATGGGTGCTTGCTGTGCAGGGGAGGAAGGAGAGGAAAGGGCAAGGCTGCGCCACTTGTTGGAGCGCAGGTTGTGCAGGATGACTCCCCGCCACCCCGCCACTGCCAGGTATGATCCGTCCTCGCTCGCTGCCACGTGCCTCACCGGGCAGTTCACCCCCATGTACGTTTGCTGGGGGGGGGAGGGGGGGGTGTGGGGTGGGAACGGAGGGGAGGGAGCAGGAGGGGGACGTGGGGGGAGAACGGGCAACCAGGAAATGAAATTTCCTGTTTCTAGACGGAGAAAGCAAGAGTGGGGCAGGTACGACCCGTCCTCGCTCGCTGCCACGTGCCTCACCGGCCAGTTCACCCCCATGTACGTTTGCTGGGGGGGGGGGGGGGGGGGGGGAGGGGGGAAGCAAACAGGGTAGAAAACGTCTTTGCTGGGAGTGAAGAGGGGAAGTGACGTGGGTGAGGGGACGGCCCAACGCGCGCCCACCCATGTACGTTTGCTGGGCTGGGTGGGGACATTGAAAGAATCAGGCAATGAACACTCACAGAAACGCGTACACACGGGGATGACCAGGTGCTGCACCCTCAGCTCCTCCTCCTCATTACTCTGCACCAACAGCACTCGGTCTGAACCCGCGATCCCCTTGCATGAGCTCTGTCGTGCAAACGCACACTCACCAAATTGCACACCCACCCAAATGCCCAGACACTCACCGGGATGACCAGGTGCTGCACCCTCAGCTCCTCCTCCTCATTACTCTGCACCAACAGCACTCGATCCGCACCAGCCATCGCCTGCCACACATGCGAGCTCCCCGCCACCGCCTTACTCGAGCACTGCCTCGCAAACGCAAACTGCACCAGCCGCCCCGCCTGCCTTCCCCTCACACCCGCCGCCACCTCCCCCACCATCCCTGCTTCCGCTGCTACAAGCTGGTACCCCTCCTCCCCCCACGCTACAGCCGCAACACCCCCCACCATCGGCTCGCTGCTCTTCACCACAGCGGCTGTAGCAGACCCGGCTGCTGCCGAGCCTGGCGTGGAGGCTGGGTCCGAGCCTGCGGCGGAGCTCCGGGGACTGGTGATACCAGCGGTGGTGGTGGAAGAGGAGGAGGAGGAGGAGGAGGAGGGGGGCAGGAGGCTCATGGAACCCTGGCGGATGGTGCACATGAGGCGACAGCCTGAGACGGACCACACGGCCAGGCCTCGCAGCTTCCACCCCACTGCGAATGCCAGGTTGTCTGGCGACCAGCATATGCACGCCACTGCGCCCGTGTCCTCCAGTGAATACCTGGAGGGGCGTAGCAGATGAGGGTGGGGGAGGGGCAATGATGGTTATGGGGAGGGGATAAAGCATGGGAGAAGAGAAGACCACTGCTACCATTACCCACGCTTGAACCCACTCACCCTCACTCGCCCCCACTCACACTCACCCACTCACCCTCACTCGCCCCTACTCACACCCACCCACTCACACCCACCCACTCACCCTCACTCGCCCCCACTCACACCCACCCACTCACCCTCACTCGCCCCCACTCACACCCACCCACTCACCCTCACTCGCCCCTACTCACACCCACCCACTCACACCCACCCACTCACCCTCACTCGCCCCCACTCACACCCACCCACTCACCTTCACTCGCCCCCACTCACACCCACCCACTCACCCTCACTCGCCCCCACTCACACCCACCCACTCGCCCTCACTCGCCCCCACTCACACCCACCCACTCACCCTCACTCGCCCCCACTCACACCCACCCACTCACCCTCACTCGCCCCCACTCACACGCACCCACTCACCCTCACTCGGCCCCACTCACACGCACCCACTCACCCTCACTCGCCCCCACTCACACCCACCCACTCACCCTCACTCGCCCCCACTCACACCCACCCACTCACCCTCACTCGCCCCTACTCACACCCACCCACTCACCCTCACTCGCCCCCACTCACACCCACCCACTCACCTTCACTCGCCCCCACTCACACCCACCCACTCACCCTCACTCGCCCCCACTCACACCCACCCACTCACCCTCACTCGCCCCCACTCACACCCACCCATGTCAGATTACCATCCTCATTGTAACCTACATCAATCCTATAAGCTTAGGCCAGAGATAGCCACCCAAACTTAGTTTGGGTGTAGAACTAGGGCTAACCCTAGTTGGGGGTTGGAACTCCAACCTTGGCCCCAAGGTTGGGTTGGGAATTATTGGTCCCCCCAATAATGTTGAACCAACTTGGTCAACATTATTGGTCCCCCCAATCATCCCTCAACCCAACTTATTGGTGGGGGCCAATAATGTTGGCTTGGTTCCCAACCAACCCCTCCCCCCTAGCACTACTATGTATACCTCCCTCTCTCCTAATGAATTCAATGGTTCTTCCTCTCGTTTTCTCACATGGTAATCAGAGCTACAACGGTTAACACCGTCTCTCGATCCTAAGAACCACACTTAACGCGTGCCGTATCACGCCCCCCCTCTCTCACTCGCGCTTAAGTTGCGCTAGTATGCCTTCACGGCCCCCCTCCCCCCTTGCACTCACGCACGTTCCCGTGCCTCCCCCGCAAGAGATTACGATCGGCAGCCCGCTCCCCCCTCCCCCTCCCCTCTCCTCCCTCACTGCGGTGCATTCCGCCGACGAGGGCGGACGCGACCACCGCGGCGGATTCCGCCTACGAGGGCGGACGCGACCACCGCGGCGGATTCCGCCTACGAGGGCGGACGCGACCACCGCGGCAGATTCCGCCTACGAGGGCGGACGCAACCACCGCGGCGGATTCCGCCTACCAGGGCGGACGCGACCACCGCGGCGCATTCCGCCGACGAGGGCGGACGCGACCACCGCGGCGCATTCCGCCGACGAGGGCGGACGCGACCACCGCGGCGGATTTCCGCTGACGGACGCGCTACCTCGGGTGACGAGGCGCATCCGCGGACGGACGCGCACCCGCGGGCGACGAGGCGCATCCGCGGACGGACGCGCACCCGCGGGCGTCGAGGCGCATCCGCGGACGGGCGCGCACCCGCGAGCGACGAGGCGCATCCGCGGACGGACGCGCACCCGCGGGCGACGAGGCGCATCCGCGGACGGACGCGCACCCGCGGGCGTCGAGGCGCATCCGCGGACGGACGCGCACCCGCGGGCGACGAGGCGCATCCGCGGACGGACGCGCACCCGCGGGCGACGAGGCGCATCCGCGGACGGACGCGAACCCGCGGGCGACGAGGCGCATCCGCGGGCGGACGCGCACCCGCGAGCAACGAGGCGCATCCGCGGACGGACGTGCACCCGCGGGCCACGAGGCGCAATCACGGGCGACACAAACGCAGCTGCGAGTAACCCGGCGCCACCATACGTTACGTGACCGCACCACCCTTCCAAGTGGTGTCGTCCTCTTTGACCGCACCCGCCCTCAAGCCGGTATCGTCACCCCCTCCCCTCCTCCTCCTCATGGCGGACGACTCCACTCCCATCGAGCTCGGAGCCATTGACAAGCTCGAACTTCTCCATGACACCACGGCCATAAACTGGGCGTCGTTTGAAGATACGCTTCACACACACCTTGGCTCCGTCATCATTCAAGATTATTGCCTTCTTGATGTCGTCCTCGAGCACCCTAATGGCCTCCCACCTGTACTCCCCCCTCCCCTTGAACCTCCTCCCCCTGATGCCCCTCCTCCACTCGAGCCTCTTCCCGACCCCCCGCGTGCCCCAGTTCATGATGACAACCCGGATCGCTGGGGGGCCAACCTGAACACTTACAACAGGCTTCGCGACACTTACACCCTCCAGCGTGAGGCGCACCGTGTTGCGGAAGCAGCACACGCTGATGCTACTACACGCCTCCTCTCCTACGCTCAAGACGAAAAAGACTATGCTGAGGAGCTTCGCAAGATCCACAAGGATGTTGCAGCATGGCGCATTGCTGATCGTCGTGCACTCGCCATCATCTTCTCCTGCATCCCCTCCCACCTCAAACGCGACCTTCGTCCCACCTCCTCCTCTGGACTCTGGAAAACCCTCTCTACTCAGTACGATCGTCAGGACCTTCGCTCCCTCCTCGCCCTCTTCCGCAAATTCCAAGACATCACCCTTGACTCCTCCCCCACTGCTGCTGCCTACACCCGTCGCCTCATTGACACTGCGCAACGCCTCAATGACCGCGGCATTGTCATCTCTGAGTCCCTTCTTACTGCACGCATCCTTGACTGCCTCCCTCCCACATATGACACCTACCGCATCACCTTCACCTCTCGCTACCGTCATCCTCCTCCTGTGGCTAACACCATCGAGTGGCTCCTTGACAGCGAAGCGGACATTCAACGTGACTCCGTCACCGTCAATGCTGTCCAGACCCGCAAAGCTACCACAGGCAACCACAACAGCGGAACAGGTGGCGGCCCAAGTGGCGCCGGTGGTGGTGGTGGTGGACGTGGTGGCGGCCGAGGCGGAGGACGCGGTGGTGGTCGCAGTGGTGGCCGTGGCGGACGCGGCGGATATCCCTCACCTTCAGGCACCCTCCCCCCGTGTCAGTACATCATCCGCTATGGCTCCAACAAAGGTCAGCCATGCTCTCAGACCACTCACACCACGGACACGTGCTTCAAAGCCCTCACGGACGAGTGGTTTGCACGTGGCAACGTTGGCACTCCACCTCGCTGGAACACTGTTTTCCCACGCCCCTCCATTCATGACATCCGCACCCTCCCCGCATATCAGCCCTCTACTCCCAACCTTCACAATGTCCTCACTCAGCATCTCCCATCTCACATCCTTCAACAAGTTCAGCATCTTCTCCCCTCCACTCCCACCACACCCACTCCTCCCCCACCCACACCTCCGCCTCAAGCCCCTCCCCCTCACTACCCTCCATCCTATGCTGGCTGGCCTTACCCTCCTTACCCACCTCCTGGATATGGTCATGCACCTATTGGACACGCTGCCACTCCTGCTGAACCACCATCCTCCTCCTCCAACCCTCCTGGCTTTACTCCATTCCCCTCTGCTGGATTCATAGGACATGTTAGCACTCCTCCTGCTGATTCTATGTATGCACATGCTATTAATGAGTCTCTCTTCCAGTACTCCGCCTTTTCCTCCTCCTCTTCATGCCTTGAGTTTATCCTTGACAGTGGCGCGACACACACTGTTCTGCGTGATGCAGGCACACTGGTACCCCTCCCCACTCCCTCCACTATCCACGGAGCTGACTCCAGCTTCACCATCACAAGTAGTCACACCTCCACCCTCCCCTGTCCCATCTTCCCCTCAGGTACAGTCACAGGTCTATACATCCCCTCCCTACGCAACAATCTGGTAGCACTGTGTGACCTCACCAGGTTCAATATCACCGCCCTCTTCCCCGGTCATGCACGCCACTGCGACCTCTTTCAAACCACCACTGGTCACTTCATCTGTCGCATTCCCCTCTGCCCTCGCACAAATCTGTACACGTACCGCACCCCTCGCACCTTCATTCACCACCTCATCGCCCCCACCTCACCCCTTCCCCTCCCCTCACCTCCGCTCCCCCCTCCCTCCCCACCTCCCATCCCCTCCCCCATCCCCTCCCCCCTCCTCCCCTCCCCTCCCCCCCCCCTCCCCCACCTCCTCCTCCTCCTGTCACTGTCGTGACCTCACCCACCCCGCAGTTCTCCTTCACCACAGGTTGGGTCATCCCAACTTTGCCACCCTCCGTCAAACCGTCTCCACCCAACTCCTCGACGGACTCCCCCTCACCCTTCCCCCTCTCCCCCCATCACCCTCCCCTCCCTGCTCAGTCTGCGTCGAAAGCAAACTGAAACAGGCCCCCCACAAGAGTCATCCCTCCTTTTCTCCCCAGCCTCTTGATCTCGTCCACATGGACCTCTGGGGCCCCAACCCTTCCCCCACCAGACAAGGTCATAAATACCTGCTCATCCTGGTGGATGACCACAGCCGCTACTCCTCCGTCTCCCTCCTTCGCACGAAGGCGGAGGCCCCGGCTGCTATTATTGCTTGGGCTGAACAAGCACGCACCCATTTCAAACGGCCTGTCTCCCGCTTCCACTCTGATGGCGGTGGTGAGTTCCTTAACAACATGCTCTCATCCTACTGCACCACTCGTGGTATCATTCACACCCACACCCTACCTCATTCCCCTCAGCAGAATGGCGTGGCGGAGAGTAGGGTCCGTGAGGTCACCAAAACTGCTCGGTGCCTCATGGTCCATGCCTCCTGCCCGCCCTCTCTCTGGGGCTATGCCATCCTCCACGCTGCCATCCTCACTAACTTGTACCCTCATCCCTCCCGGCCCACCACCACTCCCACCGCACTTTGGACATCCAAAAAGCCCGACATCACCCCCCTGCGCGTGTGGGGTTCCATGGCGTATGTTCTCATACACCCTGCCGACCGCTCACGCAAAGCTGGAAAGCTAGCCTCCCGCACTCTCCCCTGCATTTTCCTTGGTCACAACACCTCCTCCCCGGACTATCTCTTCCTCCATCCCCCCTCTGGTCGCCTCATTCGTAGTCGGGATGTGGAATTCGATGAAGCCCACCCGTACTACACCTCCCCCAAAGCCCCTAACCCCCTCCCTCTAACCACCCGTCCCTTCCTCTGGACTGACACCATTCCCCCCCCACCCCCTCTCCCCTCCCCTTCACTTCTCCCCCCCCCCCCACCATTGTCCCCCCTGCACCCCCTCCCCCCTCTCCCCCCGCCTCGTCAGGAGACATCCTTGACCCCGTCCACCCTCCTTCCCCAACCGCTTCCCCTCCCCCTTCCTCCCCACCCGCTGCCCCTCCCCCTTCCTCCCCACCCGCTGCCCCTCCCCCCCCTCCTTCCCCTCCGTCCCTTTGTGCAGAACATCCCCCGCCTCCCCCCTCCCCACGCCCTCCCCCACTCACTCCACCTCCGTCCTCACGGCCCCTACTTCCCACTCCCCCTCTCATACTCCGCCACTACCCTCACACCCGCTCCACGGTCCCCATTCTTGGTACCCCCAGGTCCACCCCCCCCTCCCTCCAGTCTCTCACATCCATCCCCCTTCTCCGCCACCATAGCACCTCCCCTCCCCCCCGCACCAGCACCTCAGACTCTCTCAGCAGTCGCGCTCCCGTCTCTCTGCCCCTCACGGCAACCCAGCGAAGCCGAGCTGCAATGCAGCTGTCTCCTCGCCCCGACCCTCAGCGCAGCAGAGCACCAGTGCATCTGTGTCCCCGCATCAGCCCGACCCACCAGCGCAGCTGTCTTGCAACTTCACCGCCTCCTCTTCCTCCTCCTCTCACTCCGGACCTCACTGAGGATTCTCATGATGAGCTAATGTTCCTCCACCTCCTCTCACCAACCGTCGCCCCCGTCGTCCGCACAATGGCTGGCACCACTGTTCTTCTCTTCTCCACCACCCCCACCATCTACGAACCCACCACCTATGAGCAAGCACTTGCCTGCCTTGATGCACCTCTCTGGATCGAGGCCATGGTCAAGGAGAGCAATGCCTTCATCAGCAACCGCTCGTTTATCGACGTCCCTCGTCCCTCAAAGCACAACGTGGTCCAAGGCAGGTGGCTTTTTCGAGTCAAACTACTCCCTGGCAACGCTCCGGTGTACAAGGCTCGATATGTGGCAAAAGGCTTCACACAGACCTATGGCTCAGACTTCTTCGAGACCTACTCACCCACCGCCACTCCACCGGTCATTCGCGTGTTTTTTGACTTTGTTGGCAGACGTGGGATGCTTCTTCACTCCATGGACGTCACCACCGCCTTTCTGCAAGGCGACCTTCATGAGCTCATTTTCCTGGAACGTCCCAAAGGCTTCCATGCTCCTCACGACCCTACCACTGTTTGGAAGCTGCTACGTCCTGTCTACGGGCTCAAACAAGCACCTCGGGAATGGCACGCCAAACTCTCCTCCACCCTTCGCGCACTTGGCTTTCGCCCCTCCCGTGCCGCCTCATGCCTCTTCCTGCGCCTCACCCCATCACCCTTCTTCATCCTCGTCTACGTCGACGACATGCTGCTGGCCGCTGACACAACTGCTGACCTACAGGAGGTCAAGGATGCGCTGCAGAAACGCCTTGCCTGCAAGGACCTAGGGGAGGTTCGCAACTACCTCGGCATGGAGATCACTCGCGACCTCACTGCCAAGACCATCACCCTCTCTCAGTCATTTTACATCGAGAAGATTCTTGAGAGGTTTGGCATGACAACCTGCAAACCCATCCCCACACCACTTGCATTCGGGCATCAGCTCGCCCCTCCCACCACTCCCGTCACCTCCCCTCATCCCTACGCAGAACTTGTTGGGGCCCTGATGTACGTCATGGTCTGCACTCGTCCCGACCTTGCATACCCAGTCAGTGTTATGGCGCAGTTCGTTGGCACCGGCAGGCATGGTGAAGAGCATTGGAAGGCGGCCATGCGTGTTCTTCGCTACCTTCAAGGCACGAAGGACCATGTCCTCACTCTGGGTGGTGTGAATCCGCCCATTCTTCAAGGCTTCAGCGACTCATCTTGGGCCGACGCACAGCCCGACCGTCGCAGCTCTCAGGGATATGGCTTCACACTTGGGGGCGGCCTCATCAGTTGGCGCTCCACCCGCTCCTCCTCCGTTGCCCTCTCATCCTGCGAAGCCGAACTGTACGCGGTCACGATGGCGGCTCAAGAAGCACGTTGGCTCAGCTACCTGCTCACCGACCTTGGCTCTCCACAGCCCCGCCCCACCCTGTGGTGTGACAACGACAGTACCATCCACCTCACCAAGGAAGCAGTTTTTCATGGTCGCTCTAAACACATCGAGCTTCGCTACTACTTTGTTCGCGACCTTGTCCAAGATGGTCACCTCACCGTTCGCAAAATCGCCTCCTCCGACAACCTCGCCGATCTCTTCACCAAGGCTCTCCACCGCTCCGACCATTCTGCGCTTTTGCGTCTCCAGGGACTTGCTCCCCGCGGTGGCTGACTCAGGGGTTGTTACTCTCTCTCTTCCCTAGCTTATGGATTTCTGTAGGTTAAGGGGTTGTGTCAGATTACCATCCTCATTGTAACCTACATCAATCCTATAAGCTTAGGCCAGAGATAGCCACCCAAACTTAGTTTGGGTGTAGAACTAGGGCTAACCCTAGTTGGGGGTTGGAACTCCAACCTTGGCCCCAAGGTTGGGTTGGGAATTATTGGTCCCCCCAATAATGTTGAACCAACTTGGTCAACATTATTGGTCCCCCCAATCATCCCTCAACCCAACTTATTGGTGGGGGCCAATAATGTTGGCTTGGTTCCCAACCAACCCCTCCCCCCTAGCACTACTATGTATACCTCCCTCTCTCCTAATGAATTCAATGGTTCTTCCTCTCGTTTTCTCACAACCCACTCACCCTCACTCGCCCCCACTCACACGCACCCACTCACCCTCACTCGGCCCCACTCACACGCACCCACTCACCCTCACTCGCCCCCACTCACACCCACCCACTCACCCTCACTCGCCCCCACTCACACCCACCCACTCACCCTCACTCGCCCCTACTCACACCCACCCACTCACACCCACCCACTCACCCTCACTCGCCCCCACTCACACCCACCCACTCACCTTCACTCGCCCCCACTCACACCCACCCACTCACCCTCACTCGCCCCCACTCACACCCACCCACTCACCCTCACTCGCCCCCACTCACACCCACCCACTCACCCTCACTCGCCCCCACTCACACCCACCCACTCACCCTCACTCGGCCCCACTCACACGCACCCACTCACCCTCACTCGCCCCCACTCACACCCACCCACTCACCCCCTGTCAAAGAGCAACACAGACCTCAAATGCGCAGAGCTCCTGGCCATGTCAAACAGCTCCACGGTGCCTCGTCTGCTCTGCTGCCCACCGCTCCACTCACCCCCGCTCGCCCCCACTCACCCACACTCATCCCACTCAACCCCACTCGGCCCCAGTCACACCCACCCACTCACCCCCAGTCGAATAGAGACACAGTCCTGAGGTGTGCAGAGCTCCTGGCCAGATCAAAGAGTTCAACCGTCCCCCTTCTGCTGCCCACAGCCAGCAGCTGCTGCCTCTCGCCCACAGCCACAGTGGCAGCGTCCACCACGCCCACCCACTTCTCTGGCGTGACCTCCTCCACTGGCCTCAGCCCCCTCTCGCCCGTAGAGCACAGCACCACGCGCCCATCCACCAGCACCACCGCTATCAGCCGCAGCGCCGGGGAATATACCATCTGCGCCACCCCTCCCCCTGCTCCTCCTGCTCCCGCTCCCCCTGCTCCTGCTCCCCCTGTGTCTGCTCCTCCGCTGGAGCGGCCGTTGGGGGTGGAGGGAGGGGCGGCGGAGGAGGGGGGCGGGGAGGCGGGGTAGGGGTAGGAGGAGGATGGGGCGAGTGGGGAGGAGCGCGGCGAGTGGGGCGTGCTGGGGAGACCGTTGGCTTCTGGCACGTACATGGGTCCCACCACCTCCCTGCTGTGCTTGCGCCATAGGTCCGCCGTGCCCCGCAGCTGGAGAGGAGATGGGGGGGAGGGAGGGGGAGAAACGATGAGTGGAGAAAGGGAGTGGGGCGTGCTGGGCAGGCCGTTGGCTTCGGGAACATACATGGGCCCCACCCCACCACCTCCCTGCTGTGCTTGCGCTACAGATCCGCCGTGCCCCGCAGCTGCAGTGCACACCACTGCGCCACTTTATCGGCCGTCTTTCCGCCCTCACTTCTGCCATCCCCCCCCCCTTACCTCTTCAACCCCTCTCCACACCTCGTCGCTTCCTTCCTACTCTCACCTCTCACTGCGCCCTCCCCCCCTCAGTTTCATGTCTACCTCCGCTCACACCCCACCTGCACACGCGTGCGTATGCGCACTCACCTGCCCACCAGTGTGCGCACTCACCTGCCCACCAGTGTGCGCACTCACCTGCCCACCAGTGTGCGCACTCACCTGCCCACCAGTGTGCGCACTCACCTGCCCACCAGTGTGCGCACTCACCTGGCCGCGCCAGGACACGAGGTGCAGGCGACCAGTGGACAGCCCCAGCAGAATGTGATCCTCGTCTGCCACCATGCCGTTGCTGCCCGGAAGGGTAAGGGGGGGGGAGGGAGGGGGAGAAAGGAGAGCAAAGAGTGGGGAGAGGGGGTGCACGGGGGAGGGAGGGGGAAACGGCATGAGGGAGCGGCCGGCCGGCCGCCGCAGCAGGATATGGTCCTCGTCCGCCACAACGCCATTGCTGCCCGGAAGGGGGGGAGAGCGGAAGCGGGAGGAAGAAGGGGGGAACGGGATGAGGAGACAGCCTCAGCAGGATGTGGTCCTCGTCCATCAGAAGGAGGGAAAGAGGGGGAGGGGGGGAGAAGAGGGGGAGAGGGGTTGGGTGGTACACAGAGGTAAACGGTGTTGGGATGGGTGAGCATGGCGGTGTGAGGCGCGCACATGAACGAATCAGAGCTGTCATGGATGGGACGTTGGGAACGGCAGTGGGGCGGGGAGGACGTGCATGCATGGACACGTTGCCTCTACAGAGCGGCATGCGTGTGGAGGAGCGGAACTTGAGACGTGAGAGAGGCACAGGATTCAAATGAACAAACGACACCTGATGTGGGAACTCTGAAACAGTAGTGTGGAAGGGGAGGGAGGGAGAGGGAGGGGGTTGGGAGAGAGGGGAGGGTGGGGTGGGGGGTGGTGAGGAAGGGGGGGAAGATGGGGGGGTGCGTACATGGAGACGTTGTCCCCAAAGAGAGGCATGCGAGTGGAGGAGCGGAACTTAAGAAGAGAAGTACAGGAGAGAAATGCACACATGACAGTTGATGTGGGAACTTTGAAACGGCAGTGTGGAAGAGGGTGAGGAGGGGAGGGGGTACGTACATGGAGACGTTGTCCCCGAAGAGAGGCACGCGCGTGGAGGAGCGGAACTTGAGGGCGAGCAGAGAGGGCGGCGAGTCTGGCGACACGAGGCGCAGCGGCTTGGGCGTGGTGCGCACATCGTAGAAATGTAGCACGCTGCCCGCCGTCTGGGGAAAAGGGGATGGGTTGGGGGGGAAGGGGGATGGGGTCGGGACGAGAACGGGGGGGGGAAGAAGGGGCTTGGGCGTGGTGCACACATCGTAGAAGTGTAGCACGCTGCCCGCCGTCTGGGGGGAGGGTGGGGGAGGAGGAAGGGAGAGGAGAGGGGTTGAAAGGAGATGGGATGACACAAAGAGAATTGGACCAGGAGGCTTCAGCACACCAACAACCCCCCACTTCTCATCACACCAGCACTGCCAGAAGCTTCAGCATACCAGCACGGCGAGCGTTTCGACGGCTTCGTTCCATATGGCGTGCAGGTTCCCACCGTCTTCTAGGAGAGACTTGTCATCTCGCACGAACTCGCCCAGCTTCACGCGGTGCTGCGAAATTAGATCAGATGAGCGATCGCAACGCAACACCAACAAGGAGAATGTGACAGGGTGGTAATCATAGGACCAACGGTAGAGTTGGGCTGGCAAGCACACCAGCGCGTTAGGGTTGCGGATGCATTATAGGCATTGATACGCAAACGGTGAAGAGGATTTGAGCCGTGGTCAACCCGTCATGCTGTCCACATCATGTCGCTCCACCCGTAAACTCCGTCACACCTCGCAAAAGCCTTGAGCTTAATTAGATGCTGCCGACTCACTGAATTTCGGTCTAGCAGCCAGTACACTCTAATGCTAGTCCTTTTTAGAAGATGATGGTACAAACGCTTCTCAAACCCTAACCTGGCCGGAGGTCCATAGTTGAATGCAGGAGAGGTGAACCACGATCAGCAGCCCTCCGCTGATCTCCAGGTGAACGACTGGATCGTCGGGACCGCGAGTCGTTCTGAGAACCTTCGGCCATCCGTACGCGATATACATGGCCTCCACGTGAAGCCGTTTTATCTGTTTCTTTCTACTGTCGAAAGGAAAAATAGAGCTAGAACGTAAATGTCAGACATTCAACAACAGAATGGAGATCTCATGGCCGCTCTTTTCCTATCAATCCAGCTCGAACGCGAGACGACTAGAGGAGTGCTTATCTCCAGAACACCCCCCATGATGAACCTACTAATCTAGCAAGAGCGAGTCGATTTTGCATTATTGCCAGCACACAAACAAGATAGAGGAACTAAAGATGTTTTCCTGTCGACCCTGAGGCAGTAGTCGGCAGTGCATGAGAACAAAGCCAGTAACAGCGGTGACGTGCTAACATTACGCGTAGTATCTGGAACTAAAAAGCTGATCACCACTTAGGCCTGACACTTATGGCAAACGGCTGATAGTCGCGACAAAGATCCTGAACACACAGTTCGCTGCAATGCCAATCGGGTCTGACAAAAGCTCCCCTGTCTAGAGACCAGCGAGAGGATTGCCACAAGTTGTTCTAACGCGAACAGTACAGTGATATGTTCATGATCGTTGCTGGAGCTTTACCACCGTATATCTTGTTTTATAAATTTGTATTTAGCCAATGTTCAGGTTATTAAATTCTTACTTTCCATTCGAATGTTCCAACAGGAGTCGAACACACATCATACTGTATCACTCTGTTAGTAACCACAGTTGAAGAAACTAGTCAGTGTATTCCTAATAGCATATACAGGATGGAAACCTTCGTATCAAGCCAAAAAGAATCCTAGTCGGACTAAACTTCTGGGGTCTCGCCCTTGTCAGCCGCCGACTTCTTCGGAAGCAGGACGGAGTGGATGTTTGGTAAAACACCACCAGCAGCAATGGTAACCATTCCTAATAGCTTGCTGAGCTCCTCGTCGTTTCTCACGGCCAGCTGAATGTGTCTCGGGACAATGCGAGTCTTCTTGTTATCCCTGGCGGCGTTCCCGGCAAGCTCCAAAACCTGAAAGAAAGTAAGCCAAAAGGTTAAGTACTGTAATCACTCAAGCGCAATGAGAGAAACGCAAAATTAACTGGTGACGGCTTACGCACCTCAGCAGCTAGGTATTCGAGGACTGCAGCAAGGTACACTGGAGCACCGGCACCAACCCGAGTGGCATACTTTCCAGCCTTGAGGAAACGGGCTATACGACCCACAGGAAATTGAAGTCCTGCCTTTGCTGATCTGCTCACTGCCTTCTTTCCAGCAGCCTTTCCTCGGCCTGACATGATTCTGGGAGATGAAAGCCGCGAAGCGAGTGGTATGGTCAAGAGCTAGCGGTGAGATCGACAGAAAGTTACTAACTCAAGGGAGATGTCTTAGGAAAGCTGAATAACGCTTGTGACGAAAACTGGTGATGAACAGCAAAGCAGGACCAATATTTATGAACAACCGATGGGGCGACGAGGAGAGAATGAGCCGAACACACGAAACTATCAACCAATCATCTCAATATTTGCGGATTGACAACAGCGCCGTCGGATTACCATAGCTTCAGAACAATCGACGGTCCGAGGTCCACGTCGCTGCCACTGTTCAACCAATCATATCAATATTTTCAGATTGACAACGTCGCCGTCGGATTACGATGGCTTCAGAAGTATCGACGGCAGCACGAGGTCCACGCTGCTGCCACCGCTCGCGAACCTTTTTGCGAACAACCGAATTCAGACATGCAAATCAACTGTTACGATACTGGTTATCAAACTACAAGCTTCAGAAGCTTAAACAAAGTTGTGTTGTTATAGTCAAACATTGGTATTGCTAGTGAAGTTGAATTGAAGGCCTTGGCATATCTGATTCTTGTGGTCACATATACCCACGTTGTTTTTCTAGTATGGTTTTATTTGTCATAGAACCTGGTTGGACACTACTCAATGTGTTTTGTGGTGGAAATCGCATGTGTAGGAGCATGACGAAAGTACCGGTACATCAATATGGGAGTCTGTCACTCGTTTTGTCCTGGCAACAATCAACATCACTGACCACTCAAGGAAAAACTCGATTCACACCTCTCCCCTCGTTTTCCAATCCACCTTGTGGCTGATTAATCGTTGCAAGATCCTGAAGGGATGCGCTCGCCTCAGGTCTCACCACACTACAAACTGTATTTCACTGAATCGGATTAGTCAGAATTGGTTTGGAGAAGAGATTCCTTTGCTGTACAGTCAAGCATTCTATGCATTACAGTATACGGAAGGTTAAAGAGCTAGCGTCAACATTGTCGTCGACTCGAGCCTCCACTAAAGCATGTATGCACTTGGTATAAGAGGCCTGTGTTGCTACCAGGAACCACTGTACTTATCAAATGGGCGTAGTTCCACTCAGTGCTCAGCGCAAACGGCTTCAATATTGTCACTCCCTCTGCTGTCTCTTTCGAAATCTCCATGGACTAACAACATTCAACAAAAGTGGTGCAATGCTCATACTAAGCAAAAAGAAAGGAAGGAAGGACAAAAGATCCCTCTCACCGAGCCAAGGAAGGGCTCACATTTGTTGGCCATGATGATGCCGCCCTTTTACTTCATCACCAGCACCGACGTGCCCGTGACGTACGGGTACCTGCGAGCAACGCACGTGCGCACATATGCATGGGATACGAGAAAGGTGCAGGCAAGGGACGCGCGTGCGCACGCAGGCAGACATGCATGAGAAATTGGGAATGGTGCAGGCACACATGCATGGGACATCGGGAACGGTGCAGGCATACATGCATGGGACATAGGGAATGGTGCAGGCACACATGCATGCGACATCGGGAATGGTGCAGGCACACATGCATGCGACATCGGGAATGGTGCAGGCACACATGTATGGGACATAGGGAATGGTGCAGGCACACATGCATGGGACATCGGGAATGGTGCAGGCACACATGCATGGGACATCGGAAATGGTGCAAGCATACATGCATGGGACATCGGGAATGGTGCAGGCACACATGCATGGGACATCGGGGATGGTGCAGGCACACATGTATGGGACATAGGGAATGGTGCAGGCAAGGGATGGGTAGGGATGAGTGAGTAAGGAGGAACAGATCGGTGGCGAGACGGAAAGGAAACGAAGCGGAGAGGCATTTCAAGATGATTCAGAGCGACGCACGTGCACGTACATGCACGGAACACGGGAAAGGTGCAAGTAAGGGATGCGTGCCAGAATTGCAAGGGATGAGAAAGAAGGATCTGCGAAAGTGATGAGTTGGAAAAGAAAAAAGAAACGAGGCGGAGTGCGAAGATAAGAAGGGCACACGCCGACAGAAGGTGACTAAAGATGGTGTACGGCGAGTATAAGAATAGGACCCAACCACTCGACCATCTCATACAACGAAAAAATGAACGAAAAAAAGTACGTAAAAAAGCATCGACCTTTACTGCGTGTGCTTTAGATAAGAATCCGTGTCTCACTGCATGTGCTTGAGATAAGAATCCGTGTCTCACTGCGTGTGCTTGAGATAAGAATCCGTGTCTCACTGCGTGTGCTTGAGATAAGAATCCGTGTCTCACTGAGTGTGCTTGAGATAAGAATCCGTGTCTCACTGCGTGTGCTTGAGATAAGAATACGTGTCTCACTGCGTGTGCTTGAGATAAGAATCCGTGTCTAACTGCGTGTGCTTGAGATAGGAATCCGTGTCACCAGAATCACTCACCGCATGTGCTTGACCAGATCCAGTCCGCGATCCACGGGGACCATCGGGCCGCACATGACGCCAGTGCGCTCGCTGCCAGAAACCACCTTCCCATGGCTGCACGTGGGACTGTGGAACATTTCCGGGAGCTGCGGCAGCCCGGGCGGGATGACGAATCCGCGATAGTCGCGTCGAATCATGCTGCCTGGAGAGATTAAAGGCGTCAGAACTACAACAGCGGAGAATCAACGGTAAGATTGGGACTGAAGCCGTGAAAAGAAATCTCGGATTTTGGTAATGCGTGAGAAAGTCATTCCTTCAAGGGCCAATCCTCGATATCATTATCAGGTCTGCCGTGCCGCGCAGCTGGGAAGGGGAGAAGGAGGGGGAGAGGAGGAGAGGGGAATGGAGTGGAGGGGTGGGGAGGGGAGGGGAGGGGAGGGAAGTAGCAGCGGAACAGGGAGCGGGGAATGGGGTGGGTAAGGGAGGGGAGGGAAGCAACAGCGAAACAGGGAGCGGGGAATGGGGTGGGTAAGGGAGAAGAGGGAAGCAGCAGCGGAACAAGGAGCGGGGAATGGGGTGGGTAAGGGAGAAGAGGGAAGCAGCAGCGGAAGAGGGAGCAGGGAATGGGGTGGGTAAGGGAGCGGAGGGAAGCAACAGAGAAACAGGGAGCGGGGAACGGGGTGGGGAGGGGAGGGGGAGTGGAGAGGGATCACCGTATGTCCATTGTACCACTGTACTACTGAAGAGTCCCTCTTCCCGCCCTCACTTCAATGATCCCCTTCCCACACCTCTCCAACCCCTCGCCCCACCTCATCACTCCCTACTCTCACCTCTCACTGCCTCAATCCCTCCCCTTCCGCTCACCTCGTCTTTCCCTCCCCTCTGCTCAGCCCCCACATGTCCGCCTGTCCGTGCTCTCACCCCCCACCTGCCCGTCCGTGCTCTCACCCCCCACCTGCCCGCCAGTGTGCGCACTCACCTGCCCGCCAATGTGCGCACTCATCTGCCCGCCAGTGTGCGCACTCACCTGGCCGCGTCAAGACACGAGGTGCAGGTGACCGCTGGACAGCCCCAGAAGAATGTGATCCTCGTCTGCCACCATGTAGTTGCTGCCCGGGGGTGAGGGGAGCAGAGGGTGAGGGGGCGCATGGGGGGAGGGTGTCAAACATATATATGTTATATGTTGTAGTTATTGGTAGGCTGTAGTGGGGTAGATTCTGTGAGGTATAACCCCTTAGGGTTTTCCTACTTGTAAAACTCTCTCGATAGTAGAATCCATCCTTGCCTAAGTTTCAACATGGCATCTAGAGCACTAAGGTCTCTAGGACCTAAGAATAGGGCCCACCTTTAACTGAGTTACCTCACTTACAGCCTCACTGCCTGCCTGCCTGCCCTGCCTGCTGCCCGCGTGCGCCTCGGCTGCTTGCACGCGTCACTTTTTTTTTTTCGCGCGCGTTTCTATTGCAGCCGCCTTAGGAGCCCGCGCGCGCCTTGGCCACTCCGTAGCCCGCTGTAGCGCCGCGCGCCGGCCCACTCGCGCAGTCCGCATCGAGCCCGCGTAGCCCGTCGCCGTGTGCGGCCCGCTTAGGCCCCGCGCGCCGCGTCTGTCGCCAGCGCGGCCCGCTACTGAGCCGCGCGCCGAGTCCGCCGCCCGCGCAGCTCGCTGCTGTCCCTGAAGCAGCCGCCCCTGGTGCAGCTGCTCCTGGACCCAGAGCAGCCGCCCCTGGACCAAGAGCAGCCGCCCCTGGCCCCTGAAGCAGCCGCCCCTGGTGCAGCCGCCCCTGGACTCCGTGCAGCCGCCCCTGGACCCAGAGCAGCTGCCCCTGGCCCCTGCAGCAGCCGCCCCTGGAGCAGTCGCCCCTGGACCCCGAGCAGCCGCCCCTGGCCCCTGAAGCAGCCGCCCCTGGTGCAGCCGCCCCTGGACCCTCGAGCAGCCGCCCCTGGACCCAGAGCAGCCGCCCCTGGCCCCTGCAGTAGCCGCCCCCGGTGCAGCCGCCCGTGGACTCCGTGCAGCAGCCCCTGGACCCAGAGCAGCCGCACCTGGCCCTTGCAGCAGCCGCCCCTGGATCAGCCGCCTCTTGACCCCGAGCAGCCGCCCCTGGCCCCTGAAACAGCCGCCCCTGGTGCAGCCGCCCCTGGACCCTCGAGCAGCCGCCCTTGGACCCAGAGCAGCCGCCCCTGGCCCCTGCAGCAGCCGCCGATGGAGCAGCCGCCCCTGGAATCCGTGCAGCCGCCCCTGGACCCGGGACGCCGCCCCTGGACCCCGTGCAGCCGCCCGCCGAGCGCCGGCCCTGCTCGCCCGGCGAGCGCCTGCTCTTCCCGCCACTGGTGAGCACCTGCCTTGTTAGCGCGCTGCCGCGCCATCTGCCTGCCTGCCTGCTGGCCTGCCTGCCAGCGTGCTTGCGGCGCCTGCACTGCACGCGCTGCTGCTGCTACTACTGCTGTTATTGTTGCTACTGCTGCTACTACTGCTACTGCTGATACTGGCGGTGGCCAGATGCAGCTCCAGCGACGTCCGCGTGAGTCTCTCACGCCCCAGCATTTTAGTGAGAGGGACGCTAGTTGGGGTTGTCGCGGTAGCCGTCGTAGCTGTCGCCCTGGAGCTGGTCAGTTGGGAGCGTCTGGCAGTGGCCAGCTGAAGCTGCATCCACGCGAGAAACTTATGCCCCGGCAGCTTCACGAGTGGTACGCTCAGAGTAGAGGGTCTTTGAGTACCGTTCGCTGCCCGTATGTCATTCGCTCAGGTGATCGGACTGGTCAGGCTTGCGGGACGCTTGGTCCCACATAGTCCCGCTGCTTCGCCCGTCTGAGTGACGCCTGGCGTACCGAGTTTGGCGACGAGGCTGAGCTCCCCGACTAGGTGGAGCTGCTTGGGCAGAGGGTAGATAGATTTGCTCTTGACTATGATGCTATTCTCACTGCCATGTATGCATTGCCTACTAGTGCTGACCGTGCCTGTTACCTGTGCGTACCGCCTGACCCAGGTATAGAGCCTACCACTCCAGGTGCTGGTGAGTCTGCTCTCTCTGGTACTACGCCTGCTGAGGCCTTGTACACCTTCACACTTGACTATGGTGCTTCTCGCTCCTTCTTTCGCGACAGCACCACCCTCACGCCGCTCAGTCGGCCGGTTCCAGTCTCCCTGGCAGATCCCTCTGGGGGTCCAATCCGTGTGACCTCCTCCACTGTCCTCCCTTGTCCTACTGTCTCGTCCGGCACACTGTCGGGTCTTTACCTCCCCTCGTTCTCTACGAACTTGGTGGCAGGTTTATGGCTCCAGGACGCGGGTGTTCACCAGTTCACCCCTGCCTACGAGCGTGTGACACACTGCACGTGTGCTCAGACGGGTCGTCACCTGGTTATTTTCACTCGGAAGCCTGGGTCGGGCCTGTACACACTGACCACTGAGTCCACTCAGGTATTTGCGTCTGTGTCTGCGTCAGGTCAGTTGTCGGCCCCCTGCTCGTGTCGCGCCTTGTCGCACCAGACAGTCCTTTGGCACCACCGCCTTGGCCACCCCTCGGTGCATCGCCTTCGCAGCATGCATCGCCGTGTCCTTGTCTCTGGTGATCCTAGGGTTCTCCCTCCCCTCCCACCCTCGCCTGCTCCTCCCTGTCTTCCCTGTGTCGAGGGGCGGCAGCGCGCTGCTCCTCACTCCTCCTCGTTCACTCCCACAGAGGCTCCCCTGCAGACTCTCCACCTGGACGTGTGGGGCCTAGCCCACGTCCATGGACAGGGCCACGAGCGGTACTTCCTGCTGGTCGTCGACCACTACACGCGTTACACCACGGTCTTCCCTTTTCGCACCAAGGGTGAGGTCCCTGATGTTTTGATCCCTTGGATCCGCGCTTCTCGTCTCCAGCTCCGCGAGCGGTTCGGGACGGACTTTCACCGTTGCGTCTGCACTCTGACAGAGGTGGTGAGGTTTCCTTCGACCTCTTGGCAGCCTTCTGTGAGGAGCATGGCATCACCCAGTCGTTCACGCTTCCAGCCTCTCCGCAGCAGAATGGGGTTGCTTAGCGCCGTATTGGCTTAGTTATGGAGGTCGCTCGTACCTCCATGATCCATGCAGATGCCCCCCATTTTTTGTGGCCGTTTGCGGTCCGGTACGCCGCGCATCAGCTCAACCTCTGGCCCCGTGTCTCCTTGCCGGAGACCTTTCCCACACTGCTGTGGACGGGGAAGGTTGGCAATGCGTTGCGTTTTCGGGTCTGGGGTGCTCGTGCCTTTGTCCGCGATACCACCGCGGACAAGCTTTCCGCCCGCGTTGTGCCCTGTATCTTCCTTGGATTTGTCCCTGACGCGCCTGGTTGGCAGTTTTACCACCCCACCTCGCGCCGTGTCTTCCCCTCTTAGGACGTCACGTTCGACGAGTCGGTTCCCTTTTACCGTCTCTTCCCCTACCGCACTGCCCCTCTCCCCCCCCCCGCCACTCTTCCTTGCTCCAGGTGCTCCCCAGGTAGACCCCCTCCCCACTCCCGGTCCTGCTCCTTCAGGTGTGTCTCAGGTAGACCCTCCTCCCTTGACTGCGCCAGTTGAGGTCACTGGTGACTCAGGTTCTTCTGAGGGTGGTCCTGCTCGGGGTGCTACTTCTGGGTGTGCTGAGCCTAGGGGTGCTGAGCCTGGGGGTGCAGAGCCTGGGGGTGCGGAGCCTGGGGGTGCTGAGCCTGGGGGGGCTGAGCCTGGAGCTGCTGAGGGTGCTGGCGCTGGAGATTCTGGAGATGCTCTGGGTGCTGGCGCTGGAGGTTCTGGGGCTGCTGCGGGTGCTGGCGTTGGAGGTTCTGGAGCTGCTGCGGGTGCTGGCGCTGAGGGTTCCGAGTCTACTGTTGTGCGGTCTCCCTGGAGTAGCCGCCTTCGTCCGCGTGTGCCTCGCCGTCAGGATCGCGCTTCTGGAGCTTGAGGCTCTGCCGGTGGAGGTATTTCTACTGTCGTTACGGGAGCTGGGAGTGGTGGTGGTCCCAGAGGTGCTCGTACTGGAGGTACTGGAGCTGCTGGGAATGGAGGTGCTGGTTCTAGGGGTGCTGCTGCTGGTGGAGCTGGTCCTGGAGGAGCTGGCGCTTAGGATTCTGGAGTTGTTGGAGTTGTTGGAGATGCTGGGGATGCTGGAACTGCTGGTGCTGGTGGCACTGCACAGCCGCGCCTGTTCTTCGCTCCACCGTCTCCGTCGTCTCAGCCACCGCTTGACTCTGTGCTTCGCAAGGTTCTTAGTCTCCCTTCGTCTACTGGTCTTCTGTTACATCTTGGCTCACCGCTGCCTGCTCCTTCTCCTTACGTTGAGCAGACAGGGGGTCTTACTGAGCGTCGTGAGCCTGCGTCGCGTCCTGTCTTGCCAGTCCGTTCTCGTAGTTCCGGTCGTCGTGTTCCTCGTTCGCGTCAGCCGGCTTTCCCCGGCACCCACCTCCTAGTTCGTCGTCCTTCCTCTCCTCCGCAGCGTGTTCCCCTGTCATCCCCTCCTGCGTCTTCTCTGCCTACCGTTCCTGAGCTTGAGTATGACCGCACCCGTGCTGCTCACTCTACTGTCACGCATCTGCTGGCCACAGTTGTCACTGACCCGTCGTTTGAGTCTGCTGCTGAGTCTGCCTTTGTCGCTGAGCTGGTAGAATTTGCTGCTGCTTGTCGTCTAGACTACGCCGCTAGTCTTGTTGCTGAGACTGAGTCTGTCTGTCCTCCATCCGTCGGGGGTGAGTGTGCTCTTAGCACGGACGTTCTTGAGGACAGGCAAGAGGACCTTGAGTGTCTTGCAGCCGCTACGCCTCATCTCGTGTCCATGCTGCTTGCCCCTGAGGCAGACCCGGATGCACCAGACATCCCGACTCTGCGCTCTTACACTGAGGCGATCGCGGGTGAGTACTCCTCTCACAGGCACTTACGTTGACGAGGTTCCCCCTCCTGGGGCGAACATCGTCAGTGGCATGTGGATTTTCAGGGTGAAGCGGCCGCCAGGTTCTCCGCGTGTCTTCAAGGCTCGTTACGTTGCTAGAGGTTTCAGTCAGCGAGAGGGAGTAGAGTTCTTCCAGACCTTCTCCCCCACCCCGAAGATGACCACTCTTTGGGTGTTGCTGCACGTTGCCGCTCAGCGTGACTACGAGCTTCACTCTCTTGACTTCAGCACAGCTTTCTTAC